TGAGAAGCTGAGTGGATTGGCTCTTTGGAAATGGGCTGAAATACATGTCACTCTCTGCACTGAGAGCTTTTGCATTTGTGCCTTCTCTGATTCGATATGCCAGCCACTTAAATATATTTAGTGTCCCATTTAGTCCTCAGATAACCTTGCAAGGCACTGTGCTGTATTATGGTATCTACCTAGAGATGTGAATGGGACCTGGTTTGGAAACCAGAAGATTTAGTGACGAAGTCAAGAAGAACCCTTCTGGCGTTAGGGTGGCTCCTAAGCCAGAGATCCAGTGATGGGCCTGCAGAGCCAGGAGCTTGTGGACATTCAAACACACGTGATAAAAACATGATGAAAGTAGAAATTTTGAGACGGGGTGGGCTGTCAACACTAGGGCACCTGCTGGGGACCTAACATTAATGGCATCATGCTATTTTCACTGCCCAATAAAAACACAAACAAAATCTGACATTTTCCTTTCTTCGTCTTATGCAGGATTTGGGGCTACCTAGTTTTGCCTATGGTTTTATGCCTGTGAATATGTGAAACTACATAATAAATGCAAATTACAGTTATCTTTTGAACTTTTAAAAATAGTGAGCCTATCTGAATGATCCAGGTAAACCTGCTGTGATTACACAGGGCCCTGTAAGTTGACAAAGCAGACAGAAGGACTGATCAAAGAGGTGAAATTACAGAAAAGTGGCAAAGCATGTGTGGTGTGAGGGGGTCTGGGCCCACCTAGATTTACCTTGAAGATGGAAGAGACTCTGGTCTAAGGGATGTCAGCTGTGGTAAGAGCAGTTCCCGTGCAACATAATTTTCATCCCTTCCCTTGAGCCCCAAACCTGACTTCTGACCCACATAAACGTGAGGTGAGGTAAGATGGTGTGTCAATACTCTTCTGACTACTGAATGTGCAGCAATGTGCTCTCACAGCAAGAGAGAATTAACACGCACCCTATAGGCAGTTACTCAGCACTTCCCACATTTCTCTCTGCCTCAAACATACATTTAAAACCTGATTGTTTCTCACCATGTTCTTGTTCCACTTTGGTCCGAGCCACCACCATCCCCTGCCTAGCTTACCCCAGGACCATCTCACTTGTTTCCTTTTACAGACTCCTCAAGGGGTCTTCATACCCTCTGTTCTGTCTCTGCTGCACTGCTGGTCTTGCTGCTCCAGCAGCATCCAGGACAGGGGCATCCTTTCCCTTGGGACACCATCAAGGATGCCCTTCATATGTTTCTGCATAGTGGTCTCCCTGCCCCTTCAGGGAGCTTTCCTAAGCATATGTCATCACTGATCACACTATGTATTCCTGTGATTTTGTTCATGGCTGCTAACAGCACTTAGTGGATTGAGGTGTCTGGGAGATGGACGCCTCCTTCGGAGGACATGAGTGCATGGACATTTCCTGTGATATGACACTTGGTGTTGGTTTTATTATTATAACCCCCATCTGGAGAATCTCAGTCACACCCAGTCTTCTTAATGCCGAGACAACACCAGTAGACTCTTGGTGCACCTGCTTGCAGTTCATATCCCCCTACTCAAACCATTTAAGAGCTAAATATCCAGAGCTGTTCTTTGCTGCAAATGACTTGCAGAATGTACAGGTCCCTTTTAGGAGTGTTGCGGTAGCCCCACCCCCAAAGAGATTCCCTGGAAATCTCGTTACACTTAAATGAACAGAGATGCTAAGGCATATCCACAGGGAAGAGAAACAAAGGGGACGTTCCAGAATATACTCTGATTACAAAGCACGGCTCCGTTCCCATGCTGCTCACCCCAGCTAGCCATCTGATTGTGTCCAGGCGACTGTGGCTGCTCAGCTGCTCTGTGACCCACAGCAGCATGCTCCCCTTGCTTCCCTCACAGGTCAGAGCTTAAGATTAAGATCAAATGCCTCCTGAACCACATTCCCTTAGCAGCTTTCCCCATGTGCCACCACTCTTCCTGCTTCACTCCACTTCTCACTCACTGTGTTCTTGTCTTCCTCTATGCTGGGTTTTTCCTCCCTTCTGCCTAGACTTATTTTCAAGAGAAAATTCACCCTCCTCCCTGTCTTCTGATCACCAATTATAGCATGGTTTTCACCTGTCACAACTGCTTTAAATGGAATGATTCCAGTTGTGTGCTGTGAATGATTGCGGGAAATATGACTGTACAATGTTTTAGGGAAGAAATATATAAAAGAGCTTGCTTTAGTCTACGATTTATTATTCCATCACTGTTAATTACTTTTAAAACAATAGGCAGCATTTTTAATGTCTATGGGTTTTTCAGGTAAGGGGCTTTACAATTTTACACACTTTTGTGTCTCATTACTTTTCCACCAATATGGGGATAAGGTGTAAAGACCTCCATGCTATGTACATTTTCTATGGCAACAGCTGAGAATGAAGAAGGTAAATGGCTTTAATCTTCTACTTCACCCTCCCGGGAAGCCCAACACAGGAAGGAAGGACCAGAGAGTATAAGAAACAGTTCCTCTTATTGGTGTGGGTATAAACTCCAAGAGTAGGAGCTGTTAAGTGTCCAGTTACAAATATGAACAGTATGATGGGAAACATCACGGCCATCAGCATAGAGATTCAGGTATGGTCACAAGAATTTATCCTTTCAGGTGTAAATGGGATTAGATTAAAGCTTTCTCAGGATGCACCAGACGATGCATCCAGTGCTGCATGTAAAAGTGTAAAGCATGCACATTTAAATGAGATATTCAACTTCCCAGCAAGGAGCAGTTTAAACTGGCATGCACACACAAAAGGGTGGAGAGTGTTCTTATAGCCATGGCTGCATAGAGCTGGTTCTGTTGTGTAAGCCCTTTTCAACTCTGCACCCGACCGACCATGGCCTCACCAGCTGAGTCCTTGAGGCACCTGGCATGCACTAGATCTGCTGGCTGCCTGCGGCTTTCCTTGGAAGGTGTGCTGGGTTCTCCACTACAGTTTAGATGCCATTCTCACAGTTCCACACATTTCCCTCTCTGGAGCTACCTACCCTATCTTGTCACTTTGCTGGTCCTCTGCCCCAGCTTCAGAGTTTGCTAGAATTTTGTGTGGGCGTCTCCAAGGCCAGGTTTTTCTTGCATTTTCCCCCCATTTCACTAACCACACCCACACACATGCACTACAGCAAGATCTTATGAAGCTGAATTTGTAGCTTAGTCCCCCACTGGCCCATGGCTTCATTGGCTTCTGCGTGTTTGGGCAGTGTGCACTGAAACGAATCCCGGGAAACAACTTCCTAGGTTGCCCCCCTCCTCCCACCATGTGAGCAGGAGCCCAGAGGAACTTATTTTTCAAGAGAAAGTTTTCAAAGATTTTCATCTCCTTGCAGCTGCAACAGGCAGGATCTGGCTCACTACAGAGATACCCCCAAGGACTGTTTCCTAGCGTCTAGTGAAGAGTACATGTCTTCTTTTGTTGGGATCAATCTCTTCTGGAATGGAGGCTTCCTTAACTTGTACTTTGCACAGGCTTTCCTGACCAAATTCCAGATTTTGGATCTTTCAGTTATGCTTTCCATTTCTAATTCTCACTGAAAAGTAGAGAGAAACTATGCCATAGCCAGAAGACAAATGCCTTTGGCATTTCTTCTAAATAGATAAATTAGCTATTCACCTTTAAATATAGCCTGCCACAAAGTCTCAGGACACAGAAAAAATACATACATGTTTTCATCAGAACTGGCTATTCAACTCATCTCATGGGGTTTCTCAGATCTACAAAAGGCATGATTCCTATGACTTATTACTTCTAGCTAGGTCCCACCTCCTATAGCTGTCATTCTCAGAAGGGGACCAAGCCTCAAATACATTGCTCTGGATGGGAAAATTCTATCATGGCATACATGCAGAAATAGAGCGTTCCTCTCACATTAAAACTTTGAAAAAGTAGATTGTAAAAGCCATGACCAAGAGCAGAAAGAAACTCACATGTAAAAATATGTGAATAGTGATGAAATTAATCACGTGAAGACAAATGGGATTTTGAACAGGCATGTTTAAGAAATTTTCACACCATAACACAGGATTCAAAAAAAAAAAAAAAATGTCAAAGCCATCTAGGAAAAAAGGAACGAATCTGGCAGAACCACTACCCCCCAGCTTCAAAGCTTACTACAAATACCGCAGCAGGCTAAAAATAGACACAGATTAATGGGTGGAGCAGAGAGCCCCAAATAAACTCAGAACTCATCACCAACTGGGAAGAGTGCACTCTGAACATACGATGCAGGGAAACTGAACGCCAGCATACAGAACTCACCCATCCTGGGGCAGAATCGGCCCTGCACAAAAATAATCTTAAAAGGAACCAAAGACCCAAAGGTAAGACCTGAGACTATTTGCCCACTACACGAACTCAAGGCAAAGTCATAATACCAGCCTAGGAAATGATTTTTTAGAAAAAATTTGTTCAACCTTTAGAACCTTTAGAAATTCTAATTTTGAAGAGACTGACTTTGCCACCATATCTATGTGCATGTGAGGGAAAAATGAGGAGAATAGTCATAGCCATCATCTCAGGGAGTGGTTACCCACCTTGCTAATACTGTGACCTGTTAGTACAGTTCCTCATGTTGTGGTGGCCCCCAGCCATAAAATTATTTTGGTGCTACTTCATAACTGTAATTCTGCTACTGTTGTGAATTGTAAATATTTGCTGTGTAGGCTATCTGATATGCAACCCCTGTGAAAATGTTGTTTGACCTTAGGGGTCATGACCCACAGGTTGGGAACTACTGGTCTAAGGCCACACATGTGTAGATAAGTTTCTTGTTAAGAATTAAAGTATGCAACTATAAAAAAGTTGCTTGCCTTCAGGATAAGTAATTCCCTTTCAGGCAATATGTAAATATTTCACCAAAACTTTGCTTTTTCACATATCACCTAAGTGACTCTTAACTTCTCATGTCATTGTGGAAAGAACAGTTTTTAAAAAGACTTTGTTATCTCTCTAGACAACATCATACAGTAAGAAGCCCCGTGGAGAAGACGTACCCTCTTTGTCATGGTGGTTGATGATGGCATCCTGAATCCTGTCAGCAAGGCTGAAGTGGACCCTCTGGCTCTTCCCAGGCTTGGTTCTCTTCCCTTCCTGCTTTTGGAACACTTTCTCTCGCTCATAGTAGGCTTTGACTTGCTCAGAGCGCATGCGCTTCACCAGACGCTGCCGCTGGCCCAGGGGAAGGGACTCCAGCAAGCACTGGTCAATTTCCATCTCATGGGATCGAAAAACGTTACATAGCTGGTAGCAACCTGAAAAAGAAAAGAATAAAGAAAAGTCACTGGATATATTCTTACTTCCTGACAGTAGCATAACACACATTCAGACACAATAATGAACATGGCCATGACAGATTACATGTTGTCTATTACAATGCTTGGTACTATAATGCCCACTGCACCCCTGAGTCTGCAATACCCACTGCATTCCTGAGTCTGTAGCATCCACTGCATTCCTGATTCTGCAACATATGCTGCAACTACCCACTTTAAGCAAAGGGAAGCAGGCAGAGAAAAGTGATGGAAGTATCAACTAGCCGCCCTTCCCAATGACCTCAGCAGGAACAGGGATTAGTGGCTCTTACAGCATGACAATCTTCTGCATAGAAAGCCTGTTTAATAAGAGCCCCAACTGAAGCAGTAGAGGGTCTGAAACGGCTCATCAGTATTAAGGAGAGGGTCTGAGAATGCTCATTAATATTAAAAGGGGAGTGTTTTCAACTTTCAGGTCATTCAGAAAACTGCACCTTGTTTGGCTTATTGACTGTGAGCTCCTGACAGTCTGGCTTCTGTGACTGTCCTGACTTGTCATTAGATACCCAGGGAAGTGTCAAGCCACAGGAAAACCTGCAGAAGGAAGCAGTATAGCTGGAGGCTGTGCATTGATGAACAAGGTGTTGACAGAGAGGGTAATCTAACAGTGGTCTTCTGGTTCTTAGCTCTAAGGAAGGGTCACTTGGTGATGCTGTCTAAGCAGTGACAAGCATGATACACCAATTAATCTTTTACAGACTTCCAAAGGGATCATCAAAAGTGATGAGTCAACGGATTCCCTATGTCCTCACAGCCACAGTTGCTAAACTTCAAATACACACATACTCAATTCTGGTATATTTCCTTTTTGCTAGTTTTTTAGGTTAGCACACAAAGTAATGTGTTTCCTTGTGACATTTTCATGCATGTCTCAGTATAATTTATTTTAATTTAGGATTTTAACATATTCTATTGTTAAATAGTACCACACCCCTTGGGTTTTAATCATCTACAAGTTGATTGTAGTCTAAAAGTGTTTGATGTGCTGTGCTATCTTTTGTGATTACAGGAGAATCAACAGCAAACTGTGTAAGAGAGTTTGCTAACCTGTTAGCTAACCTGTTGCAGACAGCAGTTAAAGAAATAGAAGATTTATGTAGCTACTGTGTATCTGTGACCTCTATAAGCAGGACACTAAACATGGGATGACGTACATGGCTATTAGGCAGGGACAAAGACATGAGGTGGGCTGCATCCCATCACTGAAAACCTTTCTCCATGTCTGACTTCCTCATGACAAAGTCCCCAAGGCTCATCAGGGCAGTGACAGGGCCAAGACTAATAGGGACTGGTCTCTTTGCTTACCCTCTACCTTGTGGGGAACTTCACATGGACAGACAGGTCTCTACTGTCACTGGACACAATATACAGATGAGTACATATAGTAAGAATGCCTGCAAAAGCATAGAATGTATGCTTATTGCTGTGGCAGGAAGGGATCTGCACAAAATTAGGCCATTTCCTTGGAAAAAAAAATAAAAGCTATTTCCAGAGTTGCAGGCCTGGCCTGCACTGCTCTCACAGTTTACACTCTTGTTACCTCTTCTAAGCACCTCTAAGCACTGTGCTCATGGAGGTCACTTGTCACCAATGGCCACACTTAGATCCCACTGCCACTGCCTAGAAGGGAACCTCACACAAATGAGTGCTTACTTTGACTTGACTGAGCCAGGCATGGTTGACTGAACCATGGTGGTTGATCATTGGTGGTTGGGAAATTCTCATTGCATCAGCCAAGGTGCTACTGGGCTTTTATTTATTTTTCCAGAATGCTAAATTGTGCAATAAGAACACTAACATTACCAAATAAAAACCTTCACCTTTCCTAGCTACAGAGTGGTGCAAGGGATCTTTGATTTGTACTTTTTTTTTTTTTAATCACAGTATAGATAACCAAACATGCTCAATTTCCTGCACCATTGTGATGTCAAAGAAGAAAACATCACAAAAAATATTTTTTTTTATTACCATCCTTTGACCAAAAGTTGGAAAACACTCCAGTCATCGGGTAAACCACCCTGTGGTTCTATTGAGGTGCTATAGTACATAGTGGCATTTTAGGTGACATTTTGTGACTCATTAAGACCCTTCTGGATGTTTTCACAAGTTAAGCTTATCTATACAAAGATAAGTTGTGTCCCATGGAGGCTTTCATCTTTGAATACCTTGGGCTGACCCACACCCTGATGTCACAAAGGTGGCATAGAAGTATGGCTTGCCTGTCCCCTGTGACTGATGGCTTTTCTCAACTTTTGAACCAGACTTTGAAGTATATTTTTCTTTCGTAAATGGGGCTTCACACAGTTAGGAAAGAGTGAAATCTGGCAACAGGCTCAGCATACTATTGGCATAATTGGGGATATAGAGCTTTTTACCCAATTTCCCAAACAAAAAGGGAATCTTGAAAATGAAATAAACAATACTGCAATTTTCCATGTGAAATGAAAAGAAATATGCTTTACAATTTGTAAGCAAAGAAAAATGTGGATTTATGTAAAATTAGGAGGGTGAATTGCATCTCAGGACATTTTTTTGTGTCTGTAGTTTAGGGGAGGCTTCTGCCCAGAACCGAAACTGATGGAGCTCTGCCCAGATCACAGTGTTGGCCCAGTTCACACCCATTTCCTGCATGGTCCGGAGACTGAAAGTCCTTCCTAGATGTTACAAATCACAGCCACAGAAAGACACATAGGCTATCGGCCTGACTCAGTGAGAAATGGCCCATGGCATGCTTTAGAAAAGGTATGGCTCTGACCTTTGTCCTTTGCCTTAGTCTTCTCTTTCCTGTTCTCTTTTGCCCCTTTCCCATATATGTTTTCTCTGGTAAGCAGCCCCATAATACACAGTACTTCTGACTGTTACTCTCAGAATTTTCTTGTAAAGGACACAATCAAATAACATCTAAGCCATACCAAAACACACACATGCACATTCGTATGCACATACAAACATATAACACACACAGAGATACCTCACACACACACACATACACACACACTCATGCACATATACACAGATACACACACACACACACACACACACACACACACACCACAGCTTCTACAATTATCTGTTAATGTTCATAAGTTAAAATAAGAGGCTGATGTTTTTCCAAAGATTCATTTTTTTCAGACAGGCTCATTCTCTATAGCTAAGGCTGATCTGGAGCTATGTAGCCTAGGGTAGCCTTAGATTTCTGGGATCCTCCTAAATATCCTTAGTACTATGACCACAGGCATAAGACATATTGACTACTATCGAGTATATGTAATGTATATAATAGATATTGTGTACACATATGATATGTGTATATATATATATATATACACACAAATTAAATATATGATTAATCTGTACAGATGCAAATTTGATCAGATTGAACATACTAATACAATGTGTCTTAAAATAGTATTTAAAAAAAAAAACAAATACCAGGAGTTGGTGGCACATGCCTTTAACTCCAGCACTTGGGAGGCAGAGGCAGGTGGATTTCTTTGAGTTCGAGTTTCAGCCTGGTCTACAGAGCGAGTTCCAGGACAGCCTCTAAGCCACAGAGAAACCCTGTCTCAAAAAAATGAAGAAGAAGACAATAAAGAAGACAAAGAAGAAGGAGAAGGAGAAAGAGAAGAAGGAGAAGGAGCAGGAGAAGAAGAAGAGAATTAAGTAATGCAGCAAAGAAATAATGACACATGTGCTAAGTGTTAAAGAATTATTTGGGTCATATGTGAGTTAACTTAAATGTGAAAAAAGTTCTTGAGGAGAATCCCTGCAGGTGTCATACAGGAAAGCAAATCGACTGAAGAGATAAGGATGAAAACCCTGGATCAGATTTTGGGGACTCAGCATATTTATAACACAATACAATTTGGGGAAAGGTTTCCAGGCAACCAACCGTCCAATCAGTCCAGTTCCAGGTGCACAATACAGCTTGAGGTGTGACTACACGGAAACTCTTTTACATGGTACATGTGACTGTGAGGGTGGGTTCTATAGTTAAAAGACCTAGAATCTAGTGTGGTGATGGTCTAGGGAGGGGGGAATCTGGGATGACCATTCCAAGAATCATGGGTGAGAGGTCTTCCTTCAAAGACAGCCAATGTCCACTCTCAGCTTTCCGGACAGAATGAAGGTATTTGAGTTTTATCTCCTCCATGGAGGAGTCACCCCTGCATGATTAAGATTCTTGGTTCTCTAATAAGTGTTTCTCCGTGAGTATGAGGACTTCTGTGCCCTCATCAAGGCCTGAATGTAAAGCTTAAAACTACTTGAATAAAACGTAAAGAAAGAGTCCATGACTTTAAATATAATTCCCAAACGAAGGGAACATCAGCAGAAATGGACAAGGAGACTTCACAAAGTCTGTAAACCGTTGAGCATCAGAAGACACAATGAATTGAATGAAAGGACAGTCTGTAAGATAAAAGAAGTGATTCATACCACAGTCAGGATCCTGGCACACAGAATACACGAGGAACCTTTACAGGCCAAACCCAACACCAAACAACCTTTGTAAGCAGGCAAACAACTGGGCAAGAGTCTGTCCAGAAATGCAAACAGATGATCCTCGGCTTCTAGAAAAATCCTCCCCATCACTAATCATGAGTGCAAGTCAAAACCACAATCAGATAGAACTCATATCTGCCACAATGACAATGACACAGAGAGCAAGAAGTGTTAATGTGGATGTGGAGAAAGCCAAATGCTCTTGGAACAAAGGCAAAATTTGGCACAAATGTTACAAGGAACATTGTTGAAGCTTCTCAAAAAGGTCAGAAGTGGAATGTCCACCCTAAACTAACAACTTTGTTTCTGGGTAAATACCACAAACACTGAAGGCAGAAACTTGAAAGATGATGTACACCCAAGCCTGGAAGTCCACAGATGATAAACTACACAAAGACACACATACAGTAAGATGAGTCCACTAGGAAAAGATCAGA